GACCAAGAGAAGACCAGATTCCTTCATGTCCACATCAGTTACCTCAGAGACAGCACCAAAGCATCAGAACCCAAGGAAAAAGGGTGGGAAGAAGAAGGTGCCAGCAGAAGGTAGGAAGATGTGGGCGTCCCTTGGCCCCTTCAAGCCCTGCTCTCCAGGTGAAGGAAGGATGGAAGAGCATGCCCATCACCCCGCTCTGCTCTTCTTTGTTCTACTTTTAAGTCAAGTTCTGGAAAGGCACTGGAAGAAGTGTCCTGATGAGTCATGAGGTCAATCCCTTGTTCACTTTTGTAGCTATGACAGATCAACAACCAAAAAATTCATTTGTCTCCACAGAAACTTCCTATAGGCAGAATGATACAGAGAAAGAGGTCCCAGAGAGCAGCCTGTACTTGGCAGAAAATGGTACATGGTAACTCAGTTCTAGACTCCTTTGTAGATAAGTGCAAAGGGGGTGGGGGGCCAGTCCTCTCATGTCCTCAGATGTTCACATGCAAATTCAAGGTATATGGGAAATTTATAGGAACCCACATGGCTCAGGTCGGTTCCTCCAATGATCACATGGGATCTTCTCTCCCTGCACCTTCACAGGCAAGCTCTAGTGATGCCTCTGGAGTGGTCATCTCTAAGCAGAGAACTAGGAGAAAGAGGGGTCAGAGGAAAAGGAAATTGGTGGATGTGGAGGCAGGTACATGTCCTCCATCTTCTCTCATCTTTGTCCCTGCAAGAAGGGCCAGTAACAGCTGAGTATCAAACTACCTTGTCCTCATGAAGTGACTTCTCAATTTTAGAGTACTAGGCCAGGATATGGCAACATCCATAGTCACCTGGATTTTGTTCCTGCAGTTGCCCAGAAAAGTAGCCTACAGGCCTCTAGCACAGCCCTCTCTGAATCTGTCTCAGAGCTGAAGTTTTGCAGGAGGGGGAAAAAGAGGAGCCTATGGACTGTGGACCATATCGAAGGGACAAAACTCTGGATAAACAAGAGGAAAAGACCCAGTTACCGCCCTGAGGACCACTACCTAGAGCTGGGACCACGTATGGCTGGGTGGGGAAACAGGCAGGTCACACTACTAAGTATAGCATCCACTAACTACATGCAGCTATTTACTCTTAATTTTAAATGAATTAAGCAAACGTTCTAAGTTCAGTTCCTCAGTTTCATTACTTGCGTTTCCAAGATTCAATACCTACAGGAGACTGTGCCTACCATATTACACAGCAGAAGAACAGAACTTCTTAACTACTAGAGCAAGTTCTATTAGACATTGTCCTTCTGAGGGCAGGGAGACTGGAGAAGAGGGTGCTGCCATTTTTCTGGGCAAGTGGTGAAGGACACTCAGGACCCCACATTCTCAGGTCTTCACCAGAAAATGGTGCCTCCAGGGAAGAACCCTACCTACAGATGAGGTCCGTGGGGAAGAGGAAGCCTGTCATTACTCAGGGAGAAAATGGATGAAGAGATGCTGTGGGGTCAGGGAACTATGAACTCTACACCTTTGCCCAAGAGATTTAGTCCCAACATGGTGAAGTGATGGCTTGTGTGGTCACGAAGACCTAAGGCCACTTCCATGTTTTTGATTTGAGTGGAATTTGTTGCACATTCAAAGGCAAGTTAAATCTGTTTGGTAGGGAAAAAAAAAGTGTGGCCATGTTGAAGAATCAGTTAACAGAAAAATTCAACATGCAAAACATTATGTGTGCACCAATGAAAGAAACCACCTTCATTCCTGATAGTACGGTTTACACCTTCCTGGAGGGAGGAACCAGCTTCCTCTCAGGGACCAGCTCAGGTAGAAAGACGGGAGGTCACCCATTTCTTCCAAAGAATCCCTGAGATGGAAGCCCACACTGCACACTCAGCCCACCAGACAGACCATCCAAGCCACCTCACTCTTCCTTTCTTTGCAGAAGACCCTGTGATCAAGAGCTTCTTGGCAGCTGACCTCTTCTTCAGTGTGACTGACAAGGTACCTGCAGCAACAGATGGTCTCCAGAGTCACAGGCCCCAGGGAAAAGAATAGAGATGTATCAGGCCAAGAAAAGCCTTGCGGGGCTCTGTTCAAGGGTAGACGATGGGAGATCTACTGTCCTTTCTTTATTGACCACCCCCCCCCAAAAAAAAAAAACCACTCCTTCCTGGTGTTCCTATCAGGTCATGCCCACAGGCAAATGGATGTGGATCCACAGCAAATCTTCTGTGTGTCTTTGGGGGTGTGGTTATTGGATGAAGGTCTCAGGGATGATTAAGATTACTTACCCTCTGCCCACTGCCCAAACTCTGGCTCACCAGCCGTCTGTCTCCACAGTACCTTCTGTCCATGGTGGTGGAGTACTTCGGCCGAGTAGGGCTGCCTGGACATCTCTATAACAGGATCCACTTCTTCCTGGCCCTGTGAGCACCTCCTTGGGACCAACTCTCAATCTCTCAATCTTCCATCACTCTTCAGGGCTGTTGTGGGTATCAGAGTAGTGATTCTCAAACTCAGAGCTGCTGTGGTACAGGGAGGAAAGGGTCCTGAGAACATGAAAGTAGTTGAGAAACACCACTAGCCCACCCCAGATTGAGCTACCTAAAAGAAACAGCTGGGAAACAGAAGTTGCCTTTCCCAGGGCTGAACACAGAATGGGCATGGCAGGCTCAGTGTCAAAGATGCCTAGGAAGCCTGTAGGTACAGGTCACACTGCAGACTACTTCCTCACACCCTGTCTCTTGGTCATGTGCTTCCATCATTGTAATCTCTCCCGTCTGCCCTGCCTGAGTTGGGAGTCATGGTTAAGGACAGGCACACTTTCCCCCTCCCTGTGGCAGCTACATCGCCTGTGACACGGAAGAGGATGACTCCATACCCAAAGGGAGCATCTTTCAGTTCTTGCTGGGCAAAGAGACTTGGCAAGATTTCTACAAGGAATTTCTGAAACTGAAGAAGGATTTCTTCCGGGCTATGGGACACCGAGACTGGGTCACCCCAGAGTTGTGTGAGGAGGTCTGTCAGGGAGACAGGCAGGGAGGTCTGGCAGGGAAGTTGTGGGTGGACAGGGGGATAACCCAGAGAAGAGCAAAGGCTGGGCTCATCCTCCCAGACTCTCATGTGCATTTCCCTATCAGATCCAGAACCAGAACCCACACCACTGGGTGTGGAGCCGGGTGCGCCAGGGCACCCCTTAGGTTCCCAGGCCTGGGAACCATTGGCGGGGTCGTGGAGCAAGGGGCTGCACTGGGACAGGTGAGTGGAGATACTGGCTAAAGGCTCTGAAAGAGTGGGCAACCTCAACCGTTGGGTCCCTGAGGCTACATCCAGGGCTGTGTGGACACAGGAGGAAGCACTTCAGAGAGATAGCAGAGCTTGTCTCCTATCTTGGCATTTCCTCTTGCACAGGAACATAGTAAAGGCTCTGAGCACTGCTGAGGTAAAGAAAGTGTTGAAATCACAATTCTCCAGTTGAATTCATCACACAATCCTAGCCTTGTTGTTGTTTTAAAGAAAACTCTCAGAAATTCTTGTCCAGGTAACAACTTCCACAGTTTGACCATAGGTGACATTTTTAAATGCACCCATATGGAAAACACTGAAGTTATCCTTTTTGGATAGGAGACTCTCTTCGTATAGCTTTTGGAAGGGAAGAAGGCAAGCGCCAACATTTACTCCTAGGTTATTTTGTGTTTCGCTCTGACACAAAGCAGGCTACACTGAGCTGGGTCCAGGAAGGACATGATCCAGGTCTCATTTTCCATGGGCAAAAGGAAGCCTGAGGGGTTTGTGGTCTCTGATACCGTGACAGCAACAGGAACATAAGGCAGCAAGTGCACAGAGTACTGGGAGAAGTCACAATGCAAGTCACACTCACAGAAAACCATCACCCGTCTAGCATCGCACTCCAAGATGTGCTTTCTTTCGTTGGAAATTCCTTTGGTAATTGGACTTACTTCAGTTAAGGAAAGATCTCTAATGAAATGCTTAAGCATCTCTTGCCTGGGCAAGTGGTTGTGCTAAAACAATCCTGTAAGTCTTCTTCCATGCTGAAGTGTGTGATGAGCCTTGTCTGTTCTGGGGAAAAGGAGAGTTGGGGAAGATGAATTCAGAACTATGTCTTATAGGATTGGCTCAGTTTGAAAGAAGGTATAATTCAACTGCAGGCTTTTTGCTGGATACACACACACACACACACACACACACACACACACTTCTTACTGGAGTGGCAAAACCAATCATATATATATCAGGAATCTTAAAATTCCCAAAGTTAACAGTAGCCAGGGTAGCTTGGGTACTGTCCTTCATAGAGAAGTGTTAGTAACCACCGATCTTCCCTAGTTCTCTTCTATTATGCACCCTGTGCTTGATGAATAAGCATGCCTTCCACTGAGTTCTAATGGCACTTTCCCTATTTCCCTAGCTCCTACCCACCCCGGTCATCCCCTCCCCTACCAAGAAATCACTGCCTTGTCCCCAGGCTCCAAGCATCTGCACAATGATGAAAACCACCCTCCACATCTCAGGATGTAGGATGGAAGGTCCAGGGAAAACAAGGACCACAACACGAAACCAAAGCAGCCTATGAATAAGTGTTTTCTGCTTTCGAGTGCCAGTCTACAATGTCCCTTGACTCCTGAGTATCCAGTAGAAAGGTCCCCTAGTAACTGGGAAGGGAATCAGTCCCCTAGTAACTTGGAAGGAAACTACTATATACAGAGACTGAGGACAGGAAGAGGGAGGCATTAACGGAGTCGTGACTACTGAGGAAGAACTTGATGGAAGAAGTTAATTCAACCACTGGAAAATGGCAAGGAGGAAACAACTGAGATCAGGGGAGAAACAACAGACTAGAGGAAAAACTGGAATTAGGGAATGAGAAGATGCCCTTTGAGCTAACAGGGTTTTCTTTTTTGTGGGGGGGAGGGGGAATGGGGGGGTTGTTTTGTGTTTTTCTCGTTTTTTTAGAAAGTTGTTCTCAGCCCTTCCTGCACAATGTACTAGATTATCCAAGGAAGACATGCTACAGGGAGACTATGGGGAAATCTCAGATCGGAAGCACTGAGGCACTGGGCATTAAGGTGCAGAGACATAAGGCTTAAATCAACCTAGGAGTAGAAATGAGATCACATGCAATCACAAACCCCAATGACAGCCACCCAGGTCATCAGAACGGAGAAGAAAGGAGGTGAGGACGGGTCAGGTCACCAGCAACCCTGAGTAGAAGCCAAAGGGCAGGAAAGAGGGACTCAGAGACAAATGGAGCCACCTCGTGTGAAAAGTAACAATAGGTTTGAAAAAAGCAAAGTTCAAATAGAAATTTAGAGTACCATATGAGACACAGCTGAGAATGGTTCTATTAAATTACACTGATGATACTGAGATTTTTTGCTACATTTTGGTTATAGTATCTTGACAATATTTGGGTTATATGGGCTATGTTACTTGTATTAAAAAATATGAATTCTTTCTAAAAAACAACTTGGATTGACTCCAAAGCAAACCACAGCTCTCCACTGTTTGAGAGATTATATCAAAGTGATTCCAATGTACTAAAAACAGGGTGTGAAGGGAAAGGGCACCAGGTAAGCATCCCCTAGAGGAAGAGTAGGAAGCATCACCTGGATACTAAAGGAAGGAAACCCAAGGTCAGACCCCTCAAAGGGTACGTGGATGGGACTGGGAGGTTCTGAGCCCCTGGCATTAAGGAGGTTGGCCAGACATTAAAGATGATTTGATGGGGCAAGTGAGGTAGCTCAGGAGGTTGGGAAAAAAAAAAAAAAACTTGCCCTACAAGCCTGACATGAGTTCAATCCCAGTAACCTGTGTGATATGGCGGCATACATCTCCAATCCCACCACTCCTAAGCAGTGAGATAAGTAGCAGAGATAGAAGAATCACCTGGCAGATCATAATCAGCTAGCCTGGAATATGCCATGCAGCAGAAATGAGCAACCATGCCTTAACAAGGTGAAGACAAGAACCAATTTCCAGAAGTTTTCCTCGTTCCTCCACATGTTCTGAGGTGTACATGCACCTACACTCACAATATAATTTTTTTTTAATTTAAACATGATTCAAAAGTCCTGAGTTGGTCCTCCAAGATGCTTGGTTTGCCTCCAAGTTGACCTGCAACAGCATTCTTTTTATTTTATGTATGATTCTTTTGCCTGCATGAATATTTAAGTACACCCATGTGTGCAATGCCCATTGAGGCCAGAAGGGAGCGTTGGATCCCCTGGAACTGGAGTTATGGATGTTAGCCACCATACAGGTGCTGAGAACAAAACCCAGGTCCTCTGCAAAAGCAGTCAGTGCTCTTAACTGCTGAGCCATCTCTCCAGTCCCCAATCCATAACATTCTTGTTTGATGAAACCACCTGCTTAATTTCTGATGCTATGATAAACAATTCCTAAGATACTTTTGTATGTGTAATGTTGGGGATTGAACCCAGAACCTTGTATGTGCTCACACTCTACCACTGAGCTACTCCCCCAGCCTCAAACAGTATGTTCAGAAAGTAAAAAGTACACAGAAATGAACATAATAGGACTATGCAAAAAATAAGTGGTACTAAGTAGCTGTTGTGTGAGACTTTTCCTGGGAAGAACGAGGCACATGTCTATACTCACCCCAGGTAGGGAACCAATGACAGATCAAAGCAATGGTATTACCACAGTCCAACTTGGCAAATCAGTGAGTTTATTGACGTCACTCTCAGGAGTATAGGTAAGAAGTTACAAGATGACTCAAGAGATGCTATATCACCAAAAAGCTCACCTCAACATGGGGACAACGTAGTAGGCACTCTGAACAGAAAATGGGATACCAAAGCAACTTAAGCAGGAAGCAGTTTTTATTAATGTCCAGCACAGGCTCTGAGAGAGAGTTCTCTAAAGCAGGGCCTTGAACAGGAGACGTGGCATAAACACATACACTATTTACTCCTTTGCTGTCACAGTTCACAAAAGCTGCATCTCTGGAGCACTGTACAACTTGCAAGTCATTTGAAAGGTCCAAGAATCTCCTCTCAAAGGCAGCTCTACCTCCTCTAGACAGCTCTGCTGGTCAGTCTCCTCCCCCGTCAGTTGTTTATGGTTTTCATAAATTTGGAGAAGGCCCTTGTGAATCTTCTGAGTTTCAGCTTGCTCAGAGAAGTTTGTTTACTTCTTGAGTCTCCTGAGCCTCCCCTTCCCCCTCCTTCCTAAAGGGAATGTTTCAAAAACTGGAGGAAATTGTCATACATACAACATTAGGCTCCAACCTCTGTCCCTGTGTTAGGCCCCTCTGATGAGGTAACCAAGGACACCATGATCAAGCATGTCTCGAGTTCTTAAAGCACATTGTCTTCAGCCTTACAAGGCAGACACCCAAGACAGATTCAATAGCTACAGGAAAAGCTGACAGGTCACTCAAGTACTGAGGTAAAGGCAATGATCATTAAGTTGTTTATAAATCTTATTTACTATAAAGTTCCTGTCTTAAAATTCCAAAGAATACTTTAAAGATATTTTGAAAAGTGAGTTTTAAAAATACTCTCAAAAGTATTTTAAAGGAAAAAAAATCCAATATGATAGTACAGTATACCAAAAAAAAGAAATATTTTCAGCTAAAAGACAAAAGCTTAAATAAGGTACTTTGTATAAAATGTGACCCATAAAGTGAAAAACTAATTCAAGAAAACACACAAAGGCTTATGTGACTCCAAAGATGCTCAGAGGAAGGAAATTAACTTGCCTGCTTCTCAAATGTGTTTCTAAGTTCTGTCAGATGCAAAGTCCTTTCACAATTTATATGAGATAGTTGCTTCCTTTTGAGGCTCTTTGACTAGAATCTGTACAGCAGCAGACTAGGAGCAGAGTCGGGGTGTGACAGTGTAAGTTGGGAGCCCAGCCTGTTGAGGGTTGATAGAGTAGTGCAGCTAAAACACAGCATCTGCACCTCAATTTGCCTTTGCTCCATTATCAGAACTTGAGGGAAGGGCACAGGTATCAACATCCTTTGTTAGAAGAATTTCTGAGTGCCTACTTGTGTAAGTGCACTGTTTCTTTAATTATGTCTGTCTGCAGCAGTCATTATGTGAACTCACAGTAGCTATATCTTGTGTCTCCAACCCTCTGTGAGGAGAGGAGATGAAACAATATAACAACCCCTGGCTAAATGGTCATTACTTGAAATGACAAGCGCCACTTTGATATAAAACTTCATGGCCAAGCGTTCTTCTAGCTCTTAGTATGGTTCCAAGGCTGAAAGTTGTGGAGACTGGTGAGACTAGTGAAAAATTAAAATGATATCTTTGATGATCCTACCATGCCGACTCAAGAGCACCCCAGTCAGAATCTCCTCTTGGCTCCTGTCTAGTTAACCAACAGGCCCTCCAATGCTATTTCCATACTATATTCAGTTCTCTCTTTAAAGCTTAAGATTTACTCTTGTTGAGATTTTCATGACTATTCTCCTTCCCATACAGGTTTATATGTGTCCAAACATCAATTAAATGTCTCTCAACTCATCCTGAGCTCAAGAAATGCTTAAGTCAAAAATTAACAATTAATAGTAAAGAAAGCAACAATTGCCTGGGTATTGGGTTAAGTGTTAATGCGAATAGAATTTTCATCACCTACCATTTATTTGTTATCTTTTATTTCTAATTAGAAGACAAGCGAAGCATGAAGGGAGGCACATTTTGCCCTCGAAGTCAGGCACAAACTGCCACAAGGCAGGTAGGCAGATAGATATTGGCAAATCCCAATGAAGCCATTTCTATCTAATTTTTAAAAAAAGAAATGGGAAATTAAAATGAACATCTTGTAGTTTCTACTTATTTATGGCTCCACTGGTCTAAATGGAACCCAAGAGCACAGGTCAGAACAGGACAACAGGGAGCTTTCTTCTTGCTGCACAGCAACTCCAGCTGCAGGTGCCTTTAGAGGAATATCTCGCATCATTGTCCAGCCCAGAAACCCAGTGTACAAATGTAAATATACTCTCTAAATCTTCAATAAAAATGGACCATTTTTGCTATTCAAATACATCTTCTTAAGACTCCTCTGTAGGGACAATTTTATATTTTTAGGTATTCAAAGCAAGTGTCATGTACTAGTCTGTACAGGTTACTAAAAATACCACAGGCAAGGTGGCTAACACATTAGAAATTTTTATACTTCTGGAGGCTG